CAAAACTGATGTAACACGTGACTGAATAAATGGTGTGTGTCAAAACTGATGTAACACGTGACTGAATAAATGGTGTGTGTTTGTGTCAAAACTGATGTGTCATGCGACTGAGCACACTTGTAATCAAAACTGATGTAACACGTGACTAAAATGGTGTGTGTGTGTGTGTCAAAACTGATGTGTCATGTGACTGAGCACACCTGTAATCAAAACGAACAAAGCACGTGACTGAACACATGATGTGTGTATCAAAACGGGTGTAACATGTGACTGAACACATGATAGTGTGTATCAAAACGGATGTAATATCTGGCTGAACAACTGTAGTGTTGTTCTAAACTGGTGAAGCGTGTGACTAAACGATTATAGTATTTATCTAAACGGGAGTAATGTGTTACTGATCGACAATAGTTTTATCTAAACGGATGTATTGTGTGACTGAACGATAATAGTGTTTATGTAAACTGTTGAAGCGTGTGACTGAACGATGATTGTGTTTGTCTAAACGGGTGTAATGTGTGTGACTGAACGATGATAGCGTTTATGTAAACTGTTGAAGCGTGTGACTGAACGATATTTGTGTTTGTCTAAATGGATGTAATGTGTGACTGAACGATGATAGTGTTTATGTAAACTGGTGAAGCGTGTGACTGAATGATGATTGTGTTTGTCTAAACGGGTGTAATGTGTGACTGAACGATGATAGTATTTATCTAAACTGGTGAAGCGTGTGACTGAACGATGATTGTGTTTGTCTAAATGGATGTAATGTGTGACTGAACGATGATATTGTTTGTCTAAACGGGTGTAACATGTGGCTGAATCAATGCAGTTTTAGTATAAGCCATCGTACAATGTTTGAATTAATAAAGATTCGGTCTGAACATTGTAGCATTGGAGTATACTAGTGCAAAGTATATTGCATTGGAGTATGCTGATGTAAAGTGTCTGGACTATTGTAGCATTGGCGAATACTAGTGCAAAGTGTCTGGGCTACTGTAGCATTGGAGTAGGCTGGTGTAGAGTGTTTGAACTATTGTAGCGTTGGAGTATGCTGGTGTGAAGTGTTTAACCATTATAACATTGGAGTATACTGGTGTAAGGTGTATTAACCTTTGTAGCATTACAATATACTGGTGTAAAGTGCCTGAACCACTGTAGCATTGAAGTATACTGGTGTAAAATGTCTGGACTATTAGCATTGGCGTATACTGGTGTAAAGTGACTGAACAATTCTAGCATTGGAGTATACTAATTATCAAGCGTCTGAACCATTGTAGCATTAGCACGTACGGGGATAAAGTGTTTGGACCATTTTGGGAGTATAGTGGCGTAAAGCGTCTGAACCAATGCAGTATGTAGTTAAGCTCATCTAAATTGATGCTGTGTGGTCTGTGTTAATTATTGTAGCGTGTCTAAACCATTATAGTGTTCATTTAAATCGGTTTAATGTTTGAACTTCTGTAACGTCAGTATCGGGCATTAAATAATGCATTTGAAATTCGTATGATGAATATGTTTGCTGCTATGCTTGAAATAAAGTGTTCATGATTATGTTTGCTGCTATGCTTGAAATAAAGTGTTCATGATTATGTTTGCTTCTATGCTTGAAATAAAGTGTTCATGATTATGTTTGCTGCTATGCTTGAAATAAAGTGTTCATGATTATGTTTGCTACTATGCTTGAAATAAAGTGTTCATGATTTATATTAATCAGTTCAGTTGAAATATGTGCATCATAGTATAGCAGAAATATCGATGGCATAGGTTTGTTTGTTTTTTAGTGCAAATGTTTTTATTTTGTCCACCAAGGGGAATGAACCTCAGGTTTTAGAGTTGTCAATCAGAAAACTTTCCACTGACAAAATAACATAAATATCTGCAGATTTTTGCGGGATAAAAAATTAAAAAGGGAAAAAAATAAACACTCGTTATTGACATACTCGATCATTAAGGGAAAAGAATCGAAAAAAATAATAGATGTTTAACAAATATTATATTATTGAATAAATACGTAACAAACACTATCACATGTAGCATAATATTTTAAACTAATTTAGCGTTAAGCTTCAACAACATGCACCAAATATGAAACAAAAAATTACTTTCATATATTATTTTCCCTCGTCCAGACAGTTACTGTAGATGTTTTACCATGCAAAGCTTTAAGACTAAATGCCTTTTACAGCAAAGCTTTAAGACTAAATGCCTTTTACAGCAGAGAGGAAAATGCTGCGAGTATATCACGAAACTGTAATTATTTCGATACACACGTGAAGGCCAGCTTAAGTGCTCTATATTATATAACCGAGGTTCGTATATCCAAACGGTATAGCACCATGCATATATATGCGCATATCTTGTATTCATAGTACATTTCAACAATAATGTTCCGTGTTTTATCAGCTCAATTCAAGTTTTAACTACATATGAATTATGTATACCACACTATTCAACAGGATCATGATTAAAACATTCAATAAGAAATATTTCATGAATGATAAAAAAATGCAGAATAGAACCATAAATTGCAACCATATATATGCATATAACGGTTTTATTACTTCAAAAGCACGGTAAAATGTAGAAACGCACAAGTTTTCGAGTCTCTATTGCCTAAAACTGAATATTAAGTTTATAGACAAAGAGACATTGATATAATGCATTAACTCCGTAATGAGGGGATTACATAACAATTTACGAACCATATATCTATAATAATAAAAGGGCGTGTCTGTGGGTGTGTGTGTGTATGTGTGTGTGACTACCATAACTCCAAGAGGAAAAAAACCTGAAATTTTGCACACATACTAAGTGAACCCTGAGGGTGTGCACCTAGGTATTGTTACTTATCCACGTGCGTGCGCATCTTTTTGTGAGGCAACCAAGTAAAAACACATAGAAAATAATATGTGACCACCATAGCGCCAAGAACAAAGAACCTAGAAACCTGAAATTTTGCACCCATACTATGTGGAACCTGAGGGTGTGCACCTGGGTATTATTGTTTATTCATGTGCGTGCACGAGTGCATCTTTTTGTGAGACAAGCTAACAAAAAACTACATAAAAAAGAATATGTGTCTGCCATAGCACCAAGAGCAAAGAATCTAGAAACCTGAAATTTTGCACCCATACTAAGTGGACCCTGAGAGTCTGCACCTGGGTATTATTACTTATCTTCTCCACGTGCGTGCGCATCTTTTTAATGAGGCACGCTAGCGAAAAACCACACAGAAAAGAAGTGGTTCCTTATATTACAAATTATAGACATAAATCACAGACAGTCACGTACGTGCGCGCGTGCGCATCTTTTTTAATGAAGCAAAGTAGCGAAAAATGCACATAGAAAAGAGGTTTGTTTGTTTGTAGTTAAGCACAAAGCTACACAATGGGCTATCTGTGCTCTGCCCACCATGGGTATCGAAACCCGGTTTCTAGCGTTGTAAGTCCGCAGATATACCGCTGTGCCACTGGGGGGCAGAAAAGAAGTGGTTCCTTATATAACAACTGCTAATATATAGAAAAGAAGTATTCCTTATATATCAGCTTCTAATATATAGAAAAGAAGTATTCCTTATATATCAGCTTCTAATATGTAACAACTATAAAAGCCAGTGCGTTTTGGTAACATTGTGTTCAAACAATGGCTTTTATATCATGTTGCATAGCAATAAAAGTATAACCTAATATTGTTGTTAAGAGGCTATGTGCTAAAACTATAAAATGAAATGTATAAACTAAAAAATTAAAAAAAAAATTGTTGTTTTTCTACTTTAGAAGCCCCATTAATTAAAGAGGTATGTTTTATTATCTGTTTTTATTATTTAAGTTTAAATCGGAGGACAACTTAGAGGGAAGATTACCTTTATAAACAGGCCACATCCCGTGAAGGAGCAACAAAAGTATATAGGTTTTACTTTTATGCTAAAATAAGTTCAGAATACAGACACTGACATAGTCATCTAGAATAAATCAACCTCATAACCCGAGCGAAGCCGGGTACTTTCGCTAGTTATATATATATATACGTGGATGTGTAAAAAGGTAATTAAAACCGTAATGTGCACTTTCATTACACCACTCTCATTGTAAGCAAACGTGAAATAGATTCTAAATGTCGTTACACAAAACAGACAAATTATTTTAATAGTTTACAAAAAAATAAAAAATGTAGGCAACAAAAAACTTATACACAAGCTATTTAGATTAATATCAACTGTTATTGCTCGAAAATCTACGGTTCTCAACTGGTCGTATTATAAAACTGGATGTTTATCAAACAAATTAATATTATTATATCTCACGTAAAATTGGCAATTGTCTTGTTTATATTGGTATTTGGTTGAAATAATAAAATGGTATAGATAACACAAAGTGGCCAACTTTAGATAACGCAACAGTGGCCAACTTTAGATAATACAGCAGTGGTTAACTTTAAATAACACAGAAGTGGCTAACTTTTGATAACACCAGCAGTGGCCAACAACTTCTGATAATGCAACAGTGGCCAACTTCTGATAAGACAACAATGGCCAACTTTAGATAACACAATATGGCTAACATTTGATAACGCAACAGTGGCTAACTTTAGATAACGCAACAGTGGTCAACTTTAGATAACGCAACAGTGGTCAACTTTAGATAACGCAACAGTGGTCAACTTTAGATAACGCAACAGTGGTCAACTTTAGATAACGCAACAGTGGTCAACTTTAGATAACCCAGCAGTGGCCAACTTTAGATAACCCACAAGTGGCTAACATTTGATAACACAGCAGTGGCCAACAACTTCTGATAAGACAACAATGGCCAACTTTTCTAAATTTACATGACTTAACATGTTTTGTTGGGGTTCTTTTTCTGTACCAGTATCTCGTGATGGAGAAGTTTCGCGTGTTTTTTTTTCTTCTCATTATTTAAACTGATTGTTGACCAGTGACTGACTGCTTACGATACGCTATTGAATAATACATTAACAATTCTGAGATGTTAGCTGTTACGTGTTATCTAAATGACTGTAGTTTTCAAAATGATATTTCCTATATACACACACAGCCTTTTCTTGTATTGTTTCATTATTATTATTATTTTTACCAAATTCGAAAAATATATAAAATACATCAATAGATAAAGCAAAATAAAAACCACATTAATGTCTTTGGTAATAGAAAGTATAACGCATATTAAAACCACTTCTAAACAGACTTACAGTAAGTGATAATCTTTTATTAAGTAGTTAGCGCAAGACACTTCCGACTCTAAAATATTCAGTATGATCTATGATTCATCTTTACTTCGTGTGTACAACAGTAGCAACTTGATAAACATGTGGTTGTTTCCAGACTGGGTTCGCTAATGTTCAGCTGTTCATAGAATTGGAAATGTATTCTTTTCTTTCACTGTACACTGAAAATAATTATGTATTTGTGATATGCTAAAGAAAATAGTTACGTTACGGAAAACGTACGAAATTGCATAAGTAAGAAAACTAATAATTAGTGTGCACTTTTAATTACATAGCTACAACAGGGTCCATTTAGATTGAATATATATGTAGAACAAGGTACCTTCAATCACTAAATATATTTTACATGATGTTTAAATGTTCAGAGCTTCTGAATATGAGCCTTTAAGTACGACTAGTACCGAATTCTACAATTGTAAAGCCGGTTCATAGCAATAATGTTAGTAATTAACAGAGACTTGAATATGGTATTAGAAATGGTTAAAGGAGCTTATATTGATTAAGTGGTATAATTATGTTTGAAACTCCGGTATTCAGATACTTTCGGCAACACTACTGTTATATGTAGATCTCTTTATAAGAGTAAATTGTGACCTTATCTAAAGTTTAACAGGAGATTTTTTCATTTAAAGTT